CAACAAATCAACCCTAATGGGAGCACGATAAAGTACACAATCTGAATAATGTAGATTGTATATAAAAAACGCACGTACGTATGTAAATACACACATTAATTCGGTTCCAGTTGCACTAACGAGAATAAAAATGTATACAGAATACACGTCACAGATTCATTAATTCTGAAGAGAGTTAGTATACATTAACTTCGGCGTTAGAATGAAATGTTTTGCCTTATGACGTCACAGTTATATGTATTATGAATGCGGAATAGTTGCAACACACTCATTAGTACAGTAAATAAGGCTGACCAGCTACTGGAACGAGACAAACAAAAACAATTCCCTATTATCATGGAAATTAATTCTGCTAAATTTGTACAAAGTGTCTTAATTTTCTTGAAATTAGTGAGATATAGGTCAGATTATTTAGATGTATTTAAGGTCTGTTCAGGAAAAACCGTCAACCAGTGTTTGTGATATGTAAATTAGCAGCCGCCATCTTTGATATTGCCCGATATTGCCCGAAACAGTACTGTGGATTGTTTTATGACTGATGTACGAACAAAAACTAATAATGATCACACGGAAATGTCATTACTATTTATCCTATTGTCATTTATAGCTAAAAATATTGTGGATTTAGTGGTATAGAAACAAATGTTAACATACGCCTATGGGATGTCTTGTGGTGGTCTTTACACAATACCATTCGCTCTCTGTATAAATATGTCGGCATGTTTAAAACACTATTGATATAAGAATCAAACCCTTTCATTCTGCTATAAAAAGATTAAACGTTCGGAATTATCGTTTTGTGTTTGACACAGCAAATCGTTTCAGTGTTTGTTTACAATGCTTGAAAACAATCACGACATGCTACTTCACACGACGAAGGCCGACACCCTAACTTCCCGTGTAATTGTTGAATTAAATCTATTTATCGGGATTATCGGTTTTTGTTGACACAGCCGATGGCAAATCGTTTTAATGTTTGTTTACAATGCTTGAAAACAATCACGACATGCTGGTTCACATGACGAAAGCCGACATCCAAACTTACCGTGTAATTGTTGAATTAAATCTATTTTCTTACTCTGTATTGATAAATATGCTTGTTTGGACAATATATTGTTAAACTGAATAGATGACACGAAGGTAAAATCACAGTAATATATGCTTTTTATAACTGCATAAGTTTGGTGACTGTCGTTGTGTGGATAAATACGCACTTTTTAAACCATTTTGTTCTGCCAGTTGTCAACTTTAACGCTCTATAAATAATATTTTCGGTGGGTTTTATTTGGTATTCATATGACTGCAGTGCTAGTGTAGTATGTGTTAGTGGTCATGTGGCTACATTTGTCAGTTTATAGAGAAAAAAAAATAGGGAACGCTAATAAAAATCCACAACACGGTTTAACTGCGGTAAAATGGAGATCTTCCTTGATGCAGCAATGAACAAGATTCTTGTATCAGTAGTTGTTGCCACTGTGCATTACCCTAATTTATTCATTCAGGTATTTTTTTGGAAATATCTTTTTTTATTTATTTTGAAGCATAACAACATGTATGTGAGCCAAATGTAAGTATTCGTCGTCGCAACAGACGTCGATATGAGTGACCCAAAAAATAATGTACGATATGTAATGACGTTTACACGCTTTGCATACAGGTTGTGAAAATGATGATTCTAGTCGTTGTTATCTTTGCAATCTGTTGGCTTCCGGTTCATATCTACTTCTTACTGGGACGAAGCTACAGCGATGTATTGTACAGTCATCCTAATGCCCGTGAGATTTACATGGCTGTGTTTTGGTTGGGAATGAGTAATTCAATGTACAATCCGTTCATCTACTGTTGGCTGAACGATAGGTAAGTTGTCACCCACATCATATTTCTTCTGATATTTATGCGATGTCGTTACCTCTATCATATGAAGCTATGTGTTTGAAGGTTTAATTGCGACAGGTAGTGGAGATTATCGACGTCATTAACGACTACCACATAATAAATATCTGCGCGACACAAACTCAGAATACATTGAAAGACTTGTGTTGGTTCAAGAGGAAGTCAGTTTTTCATACAACCGCGTTATTCGTGCTTAAGACAGTTAATGTTGGTCGTGTTTCCGATGAACTTTCCGTCGAGTAATGCTATGTCTCATAGTAGGCATGATTTTGTTGTTGGTTCCTTCGTATAATTCAACCGAACTCTCTCTTTATCATATACTATCATCTTTCCAAGGCTTTACTCCATTTATTTATAGCTTTAGAACAGGATTCAAGAAAGTTTTCCAGTGGCTTCCGTGTGTACACTATACCTCGGACGAATGGAACAAATCGTTGGGATACACGAAAGTGAAATACAAAAGCCGAGTACATGACGTGTCCGCGATTAGAAGTAAGATGATGTCACGAGTGTGAAAGCAAAGCTCGTTTCTGGTTGGTCGTTTTGTCCCACGTGTTATGCCCCCTTATGGAATGTGAATAAATTGCATGACCATTTTTTGAAAGCATTACTTTAAAACACCGTGGAGAGCACGAGGTTTTAGGTTCGTATCTGAAATGCTATTTACTGATCGGTTATCTGCTCCTTTATTGAAGTATTAGTGAAATAGATTCTGGGGAAGTAGTCGATATAACGCTCGGCTTTAAAATGTTACGTGACGAAATTAGTTCATATAAGTTAGTATATATGTTAATTAAGCACATTTCTTTCAGAATTCTTACCATTCATTTCCCTAGCACGACTTGTCTTCATTTAGTTGCATATAAAATACATATGTAGTATTACTGCATATTATACTAAGTCTCTATCCCATTTTGCTAACATTCGTCATTTGCGACTTGACTATGACGAGTTGCCTCATTTCTAACATACGAGTTACGTACTGTAATATTTCAATTTGATCTGAAGTTGCTTTCACACTCAAATACCAGTATTCCAACTGCAAAATCCACCCAAAATTGTTTGAATAAGTTATTATACCCACTCTACCTAACTTTCTTGAATCGTCTTTGCCTGTTTACGCAGCACTTCTCAGCATTTCTATTTACATGTTTTCTTGTAAAATATCCTAAAAGTTGAATGTACCTTTTTTGGCCTGAGACCATTGCATGTGACATTTAATCCCGAATGTATGTGCATCCTAGCAACCAACCATAATCCGGCTTATGCCTCTGGACTCGTGTTAGTACTTTGTATTGCATGCATGACCACCTAAATCTTCACATATCTGGCCTTGGGTGGAGCAAACACATCCATTTGTTCATGTTGACAATATAGAGAGCAAATGTGAGCTACATTTTAGTATTGTGCCACCAGCGGCTAAATCCTAGCATGACATATATTATCTATTATACCCTCGTTGGTGGTGCCTCTGAGATTTAAAATTGCTTCGCAATCTTTTGCGATATTATTCAATACCAGACAAAATGGTTTTGTTACTATGAGTTCATCATGTTTCTGCACATTCCTTACAACATACACATTGTTCACATGAGCACTTAGTGTCCGAAATGTCCATCATATGTTATTCACGTGACCAGTTCACCAAATTTACGACATCTTAAATAACTTAAAAAAAATACGTATACGCGTGGATACCACTCGCTCTTACCAATAACATCCCAGAACCATATGTACGCGCGTTGTTTACAATGAGAATGTTCTTGGTAACGGATAGAATTGAACGATGACACGCTAATTTGTAAGACCAAAACACGTGCACTTAGAAGAAAAAACATTCTGATACGAACACTAACCATCTCACAGACTAATTCTTTCGCGTTTTAGTTTAACAACAAAAGCACATCTATGCTCGCCGTCGTCACCCTGCAATAACTGTACCTTTGTCAGGATTTCGAATTAATTCAAACGTGAGAATTTACCAATCAAAATGGCGACGGTATAGACGTACTCATACAACATGGCGGATATGATGACTTACTTAAGTTAGTAAAAATGTCGAAATCAAAAATGATATGTGAAATGACAGTAACGGGTTCAGTATGTGCTTGAATAACTAAAAAATGCATTTGTTCTCTTACAGATTCCGGCGCGGCTTCAGGAAGGCCCTTCGGTGGCTGCCGTGTTTCAAATGGGCGCCAGGTGAACGGGTCGATTCTCAACGACCAGCAACTTTGAGCGGCACGTATAATACCAGTCTGGGTATGAAATTGATGAGGAACGGATCAGACATAACAGCAACGGTCGACGAATCCATGCTACAGAACACGCTGTAAACCATAACAATTGTAATGTTTTTGCTTTTTGTCCGAAGAAAGTACTCCTACACCAAAACAAGCAAATGACGCACCGCTACAAACTTACCAAAATTGGCAAAATTAGAAATGTTCCATGGTGAACTGAAATTCTTTGATACGTTCGGCCAAATATGATGGAGCAAAAATTTAAACTATATTTGTAGGTAATGGTAGGATTAACTAATGTTAATTTACGTGGCTTAGTTTTGTGCGAGTTATTATATATTAGAAAGAAGTCTTATTTTTGTTTCAAACTAAGTATATAAGGAAATAAAAAAAAAGAGTTCAGTAAACGTGATTAAATAACACTAATGCTAGAACATGAACATGTAACACATACTTTTCTCCGAGCAGCAAACAAGCGTGTCAACAAGTACGAAGAATATATTGACATCTAACGCAAACACGACGCTTAAAACCGCGCAATATTTCTCTCCAAGTGCACAAATATAACGTGGTTATATTGTGGGCTTCACAGAGTAGCACATTTACTATTGATAGATCGTTACAATCTCACATGTAAGGTCTCGTCGTGAATACTGTATGTCTTGTCATAATTTTAAACTCTAGTGCCTTATAGCAAAACATGGCTAACGTTGACTTTTAACTCTCGCCTATAAATGGTGTGTACGTAATTGGATCATGTACTTTATACGTCATATTATTTTGTTCTTAAATCTGCGCACACCCCCCCAAAAGCAATTTAAATAAACGAACAAAATAAGTGAAAATAAACAAATATTTTAGAACATAAAAGGGGTCAGATGATAAAAGGACTACAGCTACCCCATTATCACAAATGTTGACGTGGTGTTTTGATATATATTTAACAGTGTTTTTTAATTTGTTAATTTTCATGTGTGCAGTAGCTGAAATTATTCCGATATTTGTAGTTTGTGTTTCAAATTTATATAATTTAACATTAACTATGTCTTTTATTTGTGGGAAACCTGTTTAGTATGTAGTTACTAAAATAACTTTCCACTTTTTCGCGACATTTGAAGATTACTATGTGCCCATGACTAGGTATTTGTATATTTACTAATAAGGTCGGCAAAACATGTTTCTTTTTGTGTACATGCCAATTGTGACGTTTGTTACGCACCTTGCGCCGTACGTAATGCGGTACAGTTAGATTTACGTCCCCAAGACAATGTATATACATTGTCTCAGGATTAGTGACGTTAGCCATAATTAGAGCAGTCACGAAATGTCTTACGTAATCAAACAATAAATCAATCAGTATCATTCGCTGGACACTGTGTACACAATATGCAATTTCGGAATTATGTAACGTATACAAAGCATGTAATGTTCATTTGTTGTTACTCGTGGCGGGTATTATACCTTTATCAACTATGCACGTGCGTGATGTAGACGTTGAGGAAAGAGTTCATTATTTCTACGTAATAACAATTAATGAGAGTGTGAATCAGTGGCGTTGTAGTGTGGCATTGATCACGTAACAGTACTGAAACAAATGAAACAAATTTAAAAACCAGTACTCTGTATTTTTTGTCTCCTTCGTTTTAACATTATTTTGCCAGTAATAGTTTCTCATATTTTTGGGGCGAACCCGGGTTGTGTCCAATAGTACACATGTACGATCACAGATATATACCATCAATTACTGTATTTTTTAATCATACATGTGAGTGTGTGTGTGTGCATGCCGAATACTAAATATATCTTCCAGGTTAGAATGAATGACAGTGAAAGTTCATTCAATACAAATATTAGATTGTAAAAAATTATGGATTTCCGTAGAAATTCAGTTACAAATACAAATAAAAAAATAGATCAGCCAACATGGAAGCGAAATTTGTTTTCAATAAAATACCGACACCTTGCTGAAAAATATATCTTTCTCAATGTTATCAATAACAATTGCTGGCACACTGATTAATGTCATCATCAGTGTAGAAACGTTTCGCACCGGTTAGTGCTGCAAAGTAAGTATAATAGTATGCAACTACCATGTATTTGTAGCAAACTATATGCCTGATGGGTAATGTGCCTAATGTTGTTGTAACTTGATCAATTGGAATCGGGGATTTGCAGTGATCTAAAAGCTGTAATTCACTGTTGACAAAATTGCATACAATTACCATACACAAAATTGAAAGAAACTTTTTATCAACAAAGTTAATTTCCATAAAACAGATGTGACAGAGATACTCATTTTTTATTTTTGTATTTTTTTTCCGGATAGTTCAAAACAAACTAAACTCCTGATGGAATTGCAGCAAAAGAGACTTAACTAGCTTTTCATTACTCAAATTGTCGTTGAAGAACTTGAATTTTCGTTTCTTGTTCTTTTTTTTTCTGGAGACATGGGTGGTAGATCACTGAGTAAAAATGTGTCATCATGATTGACTCGTCGATGATTGTCGTGGTTGGTGTACAATGACACTGCTGTTTAATTATTTTTAACATATATTCTAGTACTTTTTTTCAAAAAACACTAAATGTTAAATTAGAAACACTTGTTGGTTTATATTTAACTGCATCTGTCAAAACACGTGTGCAAATATGAAGCTTCCCAGTCTAGCAAATGATGTCAACATTTTTTGCCAATCAATTCAGCTTAGGATTAAAAAAGGGCCAGTCGTAATAGTTGGTTGTACAGAATCGATCTATTTATCTGCATCTGCCATATGAAGGTACCTGTTCAAAAATCATTATATTGGCATTATTTGCCTTCTCATGTCTTGATATTCTGTGATTAATCTGTCATTAAATGTGCAAGATTGGAATACTAGTACTAATATGTTTCTAGAGGCTAAAAGGGTATCGTTCGTTTTTGCTTATAACACTTACCTATCCAATTTGTTAAATGCATAGATAATATATATGATATAATTTAATTATTCTTGCCGGTAAATGTTAGGTTGAATATAAAGTCGTGAGTGAATGACTCAAATAAAAGGCTTTATACAAAATCTGTACTAAAGTAAGCACTTTATATTGAGATGACATTTTCATCTATTGCATTATTGTAAGGTGCTTATTCAGATGTTTGCTCCACAAAATAACTACATTTTTCTTTTCTGTATAAAAGAGTTTTTGTAACGTTGTGATTTAGTTCCTGTAGAGCAATGTTCGCATGAAACTAAATAATCCAAGACAAAATAGCATGGTTCATTAACCGGAGTTCGGAAAATATTGAACAAAGCTGTATATATATATTCCAATTTACTATTATGGTGTTTTCAAACAGAAAGTTTTATAAATTTAAATGACATACTGATGGTTATAATGCACAGTGGCTGAAGAAATCTACACATTGAAATGTTTCCCTGATGAGGTCAACATACCCTATCACACTGTAAATTGTGTCAATTTATACCCTGTTTCGAAAATTGAAATCCAATCTGATGCATGTCACGTAATTTAGATATCGACTATCACCGGATCGGTAGTGTTTACATAACTTATGTCTTCCAGATTGATCTATGATCCTCATCATATTATTATCTACGTGAACATCCAACAGAAAAAAATGGTGCTTTATTATCATACGTGGTTTAGAATAATAAATGCTATGAGGTTATTGCGAGAACACCTCAAAGTATTCAAAGACAATGCAGCTGTGCGTCGGTATATGCGCTGCGCAAATTTACGCTGGCTTAACGGTGACAGATGTATAGTAATTTGATATACTCCCAGGTATATTTTCTAACTTTTGTTACCACTGGTGAAAATATGTAACTGTGGACTTGACTTAAATAAATATGTGGAAGGGTATGATATTTTCTAACATTCAATCATATAAGGTTAATCCTACTTTTTGCATTAAAATATATTGGAATAATTATGTCTGTTTTTATAATATATATAGTATTATATATTATATATTATTGTTTGTAACCCTTACCTGTCTGCCTTGGATAATACATATATAATACAATTGCAGATTAAATTAAGCAAATAATCCGCAAGTTTTACTGAAACCCTACATATTTCTAATTTTCAACTCTCTGTTGGTCCCACCATTTGGAATATTATTCCTTCTATTATCCATTGTTCAATTTCTTGTGAATTTTTGAAAAGATTTAAATACTTCATTTTAGATCCAAATACGTTTAAATGACTTTTGCGATGCACTTGTTATTATTAGTTTAAGCCATTATACTAAAATAACCTTAAAACAATTGAATTGTGGGATGACTTTCAGATAATTGTTACTATTTAATCACCACATGACATTGATTGAACGAATTCGGCACATTTTCGCACAAGATAGCTATGTTCTCCAAAATAATCGTTTTTAAAACTATTGCAGTGCTGTAATTTAGCCGAAACGCTATTGCCCTTTTGGATATAATTATATCTACTTGTTTCGAGATACATCTTTCGTCTGTCACTAATTCCTGTTGATAATTATCTAATTTCAGTCACTTTCGAATTAATTAAAAAGTATTCCTCTACCAATGATGTAGTCTAACTCTCAAACTGAAGCTCTTAAATATGAAAA